GTAGTACACTGATAATATTGTGCTCATATTTAAAATATATGTTACTATGCAATTCTTGCACTTGAGCCATTTTTTGGTGCAAAATATTATACTAACTAACCACTCTGTCCCTTAACAGACGTCATGAATTAAATAAGCATACAAATGTGTACTAGAATATAGGTTTCATGGCTCTAAACAGTACACTGTTAATGTTATGCTCATTTGAAATATATCAATATATAGTCGCACACAATGTTATTGTGCAATTTTAGCACTTGGGCCATTTTTGAGGCAAAATATCTTACTAATTAAACAATGCATCCCTTTAACAGACTGCATACCTGAAATCAGCACAAAAAGTTGTCATAGAATGGAAGGGTTTCATGGCTGTCTAGACAGTACATAGATAATATCATGCTCATTTGAAATCAATAATATAGTAAACACAATTTTATTGCACAATCTTGCACTTGGGCCATTTTTGGGGCAAAATATCTTACTAATTAAACAATTTATCCCTTTAACAAACTGCATAACTGCAATCAGCACAAAAAGTTGTCTTAGAATGAAAGGTTTCATGCCTCTAGATTGTTCACAGATAATATTATGCTCATTTGAAATCAATCGTAACATAATTTTATTGCACAATTCTTGCACTTGGGCCATTTTTGGTGGGGCATAATATCTTACTAATTAAACAATTTATCCCTTTGACAGACTGCATAACTGAAATCAACACAAAAAGTTGTCCTAGAATAAAAGGTTTCACGGCTCTAGACAGTACACGGATAATATTATGCTCATTTGAAATCAATCGTAACATAATTTTATTGCACAATTCTTGCACTTGGGCCATTTTTGGGGCATAATATCTTACTAATTAAACAATTTATCCCTTTAACAGACTGCATAACTGAAATCAACACAAAAAGTTGTCCTAGAATAAAAGGTTTCACGGCTCTAGACAGTCTAGAATGAAAGGTTTCACGGCTCTAGACAGTACACGGATAATATTATGCTCATTTGAAATCAACAGTAAATACAATTTTATTGCGCAATTCTTGCACTTGGGCCATTTTTAGGGGTACATATCTTATTAATGAAACACTATATCCCTTTAACGAACTACATGCCTGAAATAAGCACATAAAGTTGTTTTAGAATTATAAGTTTCAAGGGTCTAGGCAGATTATTTTTAATATTATCGTTATTCAAAAATTTATTTTATCACATTTACGCACTGATACTGTCTTTCTTTGGAAGATTTTTCAAATTTTGTTAAATTGGCCAAAATATTAGAGACAGCCGAAGCTTTGCAAAGACCTTTAAGCCTGTCTCTTATACACATCGGTGCAAGTTTTAACAACAAGCGTACTTGCCCACAGGGTCAAAGGTCACCATGAAAACGAGGCATTTTTGTGCATTTTTTGTCCCGAATGACCTTTTGACCTACGATTACCCCCTAAAATGACAAGTTCAAAATCTGGAATTTTTTGTGGTGAAACATATCCAATTATATATTAATAATTTGGTGCATAAGACCCATTTAATAACTGATTTGGGTATTTTAATGGGGTCTAAAAATGAAAGAAAAATTACGCAACCAAATAAGTTAGGGTCTTTACGAACCAATATTTTCGTAACGGGGTCCGGTATACCAAAAGTCATGTTATATTCCTGTTCTACAGCCAAAAGTTAGTCTAGATATCAATTTTCAGTTAATTATCTTTATTCTATTTGAAGATATGGCTAATTGAAAATGCAACTTTACAAATATGTCATAATTGATAGCTAAAAAGAGGTATGACCCTAAAATTTCAAATGGCCGTAACTTCTAAACGACTTGGAATTGGCAAGTCAAATTTTGGGTTTGTTCGTCAGACATGTTGGTGCACATTATATCCGAGTTTCAAGAAAATCTGAGACAGTACCCAGCCATCCCATTTGTTGAGTTGGCACGGAATGACCCCAATGCACTTTTATAACATCTCCAAACCTAATTTTTCCCTTCACAATTACAGCACACGGAACAGTTAGTCTGATATTTATTTATTTATTTATTTATTTATTTATTTATTCAAGACTCAACAGTGTATCAAAAACACCAATAACAGAGTCGCCATAAAAATATACAATATCATTCATAAAAATATATAATTTTTTTTTTTTTTTTTTAATTTTTTTTTAAACGTAAAAAGCATGAAAAAAATAATATATTAAAAACCGGTATTTAGTATAAGATTAAAAATAGAAATATTACAATTAAAAATATCAATATTAGGAAAAATTTGAACTAGATTATTATTATTCAAAAGAAGGCTATCAGCATGATTTCTGGTGCTCCACCACTATGCCATTTATTCTCCAATCTCAACCTTCTCAAACTTACTGATATCAACTCCCTGCAACAATGTTTATTTATGTATGCTTCCAACCACTATATTACCAATGCACTTTTATAACATCTTCAAACCTAATTTTTCCCTTCACAATTACAGCACACGGAACAGTTAGTCTGATATTTATTTATTTATTTATTTATTTATTTATTTATTTATTTATTCAAGACTCAACAGTGTATCAAAAACACCAATAACAGAGTCGCCATAAAAATATACAATATCATTCATAAAAATATATAATTTTTTTTTT